TTCATGTGGATACATTTAAATAAACAAAGACAATTTCTTGTTAAAATAAACTCACAAAGTAATAGAAATAAATCTATTAATAAAAATAGAATAAGAAAAATAAAAGAAAAAAATGTTATCCCCTATTAAAATATTTGTTACAGTTACATTGATTATTAATTGATTTATATTAATAATAACCGGCTGATATTAATAATATCTCAATGAAGAAGTTACAGTCAATAATTTATATGACTTCATTATATAAACCATTATTAATAATTCACAACTATCAACGGTAAATATAGTAATTTTCATTACGATCAGTTTGAAAGTTGCTAAAAGCGAAAAAATACAACGTCCGTAACCGTAAATATTTGTCAAACATCAACAAAAAGTCGAAATAAATTACCTTTAAAAGGATAAACTAACTTTAAGCAATAAATAAATAATAAATATTATAAAAAATGTTTTCATTATATTTACCACGTTTCACTGTTGATTATTAATATTTACTGGTAATTACATATTATTAATAACACTGAACAAAAGAAAAAATATAGAAAACAACTTACCGTTATTGCTTGTTTGTTGAAACGTAGTTTCAGGATCCGGTTTGACCAATATATTCTGCAATTTACATGCAAATGTTGATAAACGAATGCAATTTACGAGGGTACATGTATATGCAGTCAGTATTAAATATAAATTTACCTGTTTATTACAATAAAAATGTAATTCTTATAACGCAATATGTCCTACGAATTACACAAGTACGCGCCAGAATACGAAGGACTGCAACGGGTAGGGATTTGAGATTCGTATCTGTTCCTCACTTCTTACTCTCTACGTTTTAGCTTTGTGATTGGCTCTTTCTTCGGCTCCTTTCGTTATTTTTCGGAAAAGAAAAAAGTATCTCTAAAAGAACGTAATAAAAACGAAAATTATATTTGAAAAATATACACAATTTGAGAAATTTTATTGACTTGTAAGATAATATTGAGAATGTTTGAAAAGTGGAAATTAGCGTGTGAATCAGTGCAAGATTCAGTGATTTAGCGTATAAAGTGTTGTCTTGAAGTTAGTATAATATGTAATCTTAAATTTTATAATTGGAAAAAATATTATAATGATCTCCTATGGTCGAATGAATGAAAAATGAATGAGTGGGGAGTGAATTTTCAGAAAAACAGGATCGGCACGTGTGTTATTAGTATGGCTGTGAAATCGGCGGATATAGTGTAATATGCACTAATAATAAGAATTGTAAAGAACGTAAAACTGCAATCAGTATTGGACAAAAGGTATTCAATATAATGAATAAATAATGACGAAAAAATTAAATCTACGAAAGATTAATATATTCATTATTCATATATAATAATTGAACTGAATTAGTTTGTCATTTTTTATTTGTTACTTTGAATAACTTTTGACCAACACTGCATACTATAACATAAGAAATGTAAATGACATTGCCCAGCTATCAATCGAATTTTTTAATTACAAATATGAAATAACAAATAAAAGTTTCTTACATGAGTAATGAATAACTTTATTTTGACTAATAAATACTTGTTGGTCGCCATTGATATTGTATTCTTAGGAATTCGTATACGTATATATTTGATTATGTGCATTGACTGACTTTGTCTTATTGAATTCATCAGAATGCCAATTCGTCTAAGTATGTATTCAACATAACCATAGCCTTTTAAATGGTGTATTTTACAAAGTAATCTACGAGAAGTGAAGCACAAGATCAGTTTTTATATTTCTCCTAAATATCATACTATTTTACAAATATATGTTAATATTACATTCTTGAGTATTTTTATTTTTCAAACATAAATACAGTAGGCCTTCGACTTTCGCACATAATTGGTTCCTGAAAGTGTGCGCGAATGTTGAATGTTTGAAAGTAGAGGGATGTAAAAGAATATGCATCAAAAACTATGTTTTAAAGTATTTATCTATCAATATGTATACATAATGAAGTTAAAGAGGCTTGTTAAGTGCTTTCGGGTATTTCCTTTATAAAGTTGTCAAGAGTTAGTTGAATACAACCCATTTTGTTCTTTTCTTGATAAAGATTTCTATAACATGCTGTGTCTTTCTCAATTGCCCTACATACTTGAGATATACGTTCTCCATTGGCATCACATTCTTCCATAACAGTCAAAAATTTGTCAAGATGCATGAAGACTTCATTCATATTTTTAATTGTCTTGACGATTTTATCAGCTTCCTCTTTCTCACTTTCATTGTGTATTTCACTGTTACTCAATTGTTGCTCAATTAAGTATTCATTTGACAGCGGTGCTGAGTAATATTCAATCAACTCATTAACATCTTCTTTGTTGACTTCCAAGTTTAGTTCATTCATTAAGGTAACTATTTCATCTGTGAGAGTTTCCGGTGTTTCTTCAAAATTTATAAAATCGCTCATCATTTCTGGGCATAAGTATTTCCAGGAACCTTTCATTGTCGACTCTTTTATTTCAGCCCACGAGTCTCCAATATTATAATTTTTCCAAAAATCTGTTAATGTTGATCCATCTTACCTATTAGTTGCCTTGATGCCCTTAGTCATTATTGTCCTCATATAATATTGTTTATGAGGCAGGTAGTATTGGGAGGAAGAAACACAACATTGATCTCCGGGTATAAATTCTGTAGAGATTTTGGGTCTCCTGGAGCATTGTCTAAGATTAATAATGCTTTAAATTGTAAATTATTATTTTTACAATATTGTTTAACTGTCGGCACGAAATGCTGAGTGAACTTTAAATATTAACGTAGTAATTCAGGCACTTTTATTTGATTTTCAAATGACCGGAAGCAATTCTTTATTTTTCCCTTTCAATGCTCTGGGATTTTCTGCTTGGTAAACTAACAATGGCTTCAATTTTAAATCACCAGCTAAGTTTCCACCAAGAAGTAATGTCAATCAGTTTTTGGAAGGCTTATGTCCAGGAGCAACTGATTCTCCCTTCGATAAAAATGTACGATTAGGCATTTTTTTCCAAAACAAACCCGTTTCATCTACATTGAATATTTGACTAGAAGAATATTCTCCATCTTCAATAATTTTGGATAATAAGGAAATAAATTCTTTCGCAGCATCTTTATCTGCATCGGCCGATTCTCCAGTGAATTTAATATTGTGTGAAGAATATCTCATTTTAAATTTGTCAAACCAGCCATTACTTGCTTGAAATACCGTGTTAGAATCTTCATTTAATCTAGCCTTCCAATCTTCATGCAAACTAAGAGCCTTAGCTTGAATAATTGAAAAACTCAGAGGGACATTATTTTGATGTTGACCATCAATCCATGATGACAAAGATCTTTCCATTTCATCCACCACTATGTCGTGTCTTTTGGAAACAATCTTCGAAGATATATGTTGAGCCGTCACGGCTTAATAGCATCGACACATGCAAAGACTTAAGCTCTTTACAGCACGGGGCAAAAAACGGCTCTTATTGTTTAGTATTTTAAAGGCACATCGCGGCAATACTCATTGGTCTTTTGAAATCAAATTCCAAAACTTTCCTTTCACCCGCATGTGGCAGCTAACGACGGGTTGTAAATGCATATTTCTGAAGGGCGACCAAATGGTATCCTAAGGACACTCAGTTCCTGGGGTTTGCCTGGAAGAAATTTGTATCCAAGCTAAAAACATAGTCTCTGCATGTCTTAGGTAGCACCCCACCCTCGTTAGACTAGGCGCACCAAGGGCGCAGCAACGGTGGAGACAATTCGTTTTGAAAGCCCCTGATTGGGACTTGTCAATTTTGGCGATAACCAATCAGGGTGTTTTCTTAAATTTCGGAGCTGACGATCTGACTCGTAGATCGCCAGCGAAACAGACAACTCAAAACTTTCAAACGATACACATCATACAAGCGCGTCTTAGTGTTCAGATATAATTGTACACACAAAAAATACAGTCCACTAACGAAGGAGCAAGCGGTTTCATTTAATCAGCTCCAAGTAAGGACACTGCTGTGAACGCCCAACAATATATTTCCACAGTTTTGAACGTATTCCTTAATTTTGCTCTTGTTTTTCGAAATTGAACATATCGTAGATCTGTTTAGACCGTACAAACGTCCGATGGAAGCAAAAGATTCACCATTTTCAGAACGTTTAATTATTTCCATCTTTGTCTCGATCGTATGAAGTTTATGAGTCCTTAATTTCTTTTTGTTCGTATCAACATTGCAGTTTTTCCGTTTCTGTTTTGTTCTCTTGATCCGAACAACATTGTAATGTGATGGTTGGTCTGATGTCCTCTGAGGGGGGACATTCGATCGCAGAGGATTAAACAGTTGAATCTTTAAAAATGTGCGAAATAGCGAATTGTGCGAAAGTCGACGGCCGCCTGTACATGTATTATCACATTTTTTTTCATAATATTACATTAAATATTGTTGTTGTTATTAGTTCATATTTTCAAGAATAAGTACTATTTCTTTCTGATTTGGTTTCCAAAAAGAAATGGCTTGAAAAACAGTCTATAAATATAATGTACTCTATTATTCCATATCTATAGAACATACCATATTCCAAACATATAGTACAAATTACTTGTGTGTATAAATTACATTATATAATACGAATATTTAAACCTAGTCTCAATAAATATTGAATAAATAAATAATAAAATTGATTAGTAAAATCAAATCCTAGAGTCGCGCAATCAGTCTTCACAGCGAAACTAGTATCTGATTAAAATTTTATATATAGA